TAATAGTAATAGTAATAGTAATAGTAATAGTAATAGTAATAGTAATAGTAATAGTAATAGTAATAGTAATAGTAATAGTAATAGTAATAGTAATATAGATTAATCAATAGAAGTGTGACAAGGTTAAGAGGCTGTGTTGGTCAAAGTTGACTTTGGCAACACTGTGAATACCATTTTTATGTCATCATCAACTTCAGCTGAAAAAAGTGCTTTTGACACCCTCACCCACTTCTAGTCACCAGTCAGGCATATCTGAATACAACCATGAKGCTTGAAAATATGTAATGCAATAGAACTAAGAGGACATTAAACCTGAGGGCTCTCAAGGGAACACACAACAAGAATACAGAGGATGACAGGTCACCAGAGTTGAAGAAACCCGTTGAGCTAGAGAGGAATCATGCTTGAGAATATTGAAGAGGCAACGCCCTCACTATCATACATAAGTTAACATTTACCACAACCTTGTAGTTTGTAGTATCTAGTTCACTCTTATGTATGTTGCTACTAATTCTATAATGTCTTCTGTGAGGAAGAGAAGAGAACCATACATTTGAAAATATTTTTCTCATCGTAATGTACTGTACTATTTTGCGAGCTTTCCCTTATTCGTTTCAACACTTCATGAAGATGAATCTTATCGCATATGCGATTAAAACTGGTGATACTAGATCACAACAGAGATTTGTTTTTTTCGACTTGACTCAGCCGCCAACATCGGTTTTCTCTCTTTACACAAAATCGACGGAGCTGTCGCCATAATGCACTCGCATTCGCGGTTGGTTTTGTCAATTCAAGGATCCGATCGAACGACGGTTATTGCATCGCAAACACAGCGAGTTGTAAATGCATTTATGAATGTTCTCGGTTCTTTCTCGCACGTCGTGGCAATCGATTGGCAATCCTCGTCTTCACCGAGGACAGTTGCGATGACGATAAAGAGCAAGGAGGTAGGTATCAAGCACAATATCATAAAGTGCGTAAAACTCGCCCTTTGAACACGTTGGAGTTCCCGGAGTAAGACGTTCCGGCGACGTTCTTGCATTTCTGGCGAATCTTGATCCACCCATCCATGAGCCATGACCTCATCTTCGTCCGCGGTATCTTCAAGCACGATTACCGTTACATCATCTTCGTCGTCTTCTAACTGTGTCACAACCTCATGCGGTTGCTCTTGATCAACGCCGATCGTCATTGTGCGGGTGGTTATGCTCTATGAGTATAAATACAGTCTCTATTGCCAGATGGACTTTGTTACCGCGCCCCAAGTTCGGTCGAAGGATGCAAGCACGCGGATACGGTGTACTTTTTGTTTACTTTGGGTCCAACGGAAGAACTTACCAAGTTGAGTAAAAATTAGAAGACTTCAAAAAAGTAGGTAGAAAATGTTCTTTGCTGCGTTTCGACGACATGGGTACGAGTACGAGCATTACAGTACCAGGTACGAGTAGTACCCCACAGTACATCTTTATCAACTTGTAACGTCAAATTATGCCCCAACCGTACTTACTAAATGTAGTTCGAATGCAAGGGATTTAGTACGGTACCTTTGTGCTATTGAGTTCTAACTGCGCTAGTAAATAATGCTACTGTATCGCTTCAAAAAGTACCATACTGTACTTATGAGAACCAGAACGCATAACGAGTACGTACTTATGTGCGTGCGAAACAAAAAAGGAAGTACAAGTAAACGTACCGGTACGTTGTTCGTATTTCGTTTTTCGGTGCGCGTCTTTCGATCATGCGGAAAGAAGGAGTGGTAGGGAAACCTAGGATATCTCAAATTTTTCTCTCAATTCCTTCGAAAAGATCGCGTGACCAACCATACAGCCATACAGTACGTTGGGTACGGTACCGTACGAGTCGGAGTTCTATTATTCGTACGTTTCCCACCACAAAATTTGAGAAAAGTCGAAGGAACACACATCATGTCATGTTGGTCACTTTCTTGCTGCTAGTCAACACTCGCAGTGTCGTTTACTATAGCAAACAAGAAAAGACAAGCATCGATGCTTGGAACAAGTGAATAAGACGCGAACGAGTTCTTATGAGAATGGATTGGCGAGAGGTACTCAAAACGGCGAAAAATGCACGGCTTGAATACGCTAATGATTCGAACGCCTTTTTCGATTGCGTCGCACCATATTTCCATCCCTGCTATGAACAGTTTGCTTTGTACGCGAAAGAAATGTCGTGCGATAAAGACAATTCTACGCTGAGTCCCGATTCAATCAAGGGGTTGGTTTTGCARACAAGGGCGGCACTCAGATTTGGTCTTTCGTGTGTCTCCGCCGATGGAGAATGGAACCACAGCGAGGCAATGGTCGCAACAATTCAGTCGAAGGCAATGGTCGATCATCGCTGGTACGATCCACTTTCTACTATCTTGAGCCGYTCCAGAGGAGATAAAAAATCTCGTATACTTGCGGCCCGACTCATGAGCAATCTCGTGACATCCAACGAACAAACAGCTTCGATACTCTCCACCAACGTTCGGATTGCCCCTTCCAATAAATCGGTGGCTTCGTCGATTCTTGATAAAATTACCGACAAAGAAACCATTGAGTTGCCTCTATCATCAAGACTGATAGCAGAGTCGAACTGGGTCGATATGTTTCTCTTCGCTGCAAAAAGTAGAAATCGAGATGCTTTTGCCGCGATTGCAGCCGTCCTCCACAATTGCATCGCTTCCTTACTAATCAAAGAACACGAGAATCGCGACATTCCATTCATCAGAGATGTTGCATCCAACGGGATGCTTATCAATAATCTTTTAAGGCACTTTGTATCCGCTGAAGCGATAACGGAAGCACTCGATAACGAAAAGGAAGATTCGAAAGGGGGAGACGGTCTTTGGGATTCGGCAACAGAATGGATACAGTTGTTGCTGTCAAAGTTGGCCAAACTTGGCATGTTCCCAGACATGTATTCTTGCATCGGTGCGGCTTGCGATAAGACTTCCCCCGAATCGGCCCCCATCCGGATACTGCCGGAGCAGAATGTTCTGTTGCAGTGCATGTCGAGAGAGGCCGAAGCGTATGCAATGGAGTTTACATCCAATAACAAAGCCGAAAATCCATTCGGCGGGGAAGCAGGATCCAGCGGGGATAGCTATTATTTTCTGGCAGATTTGGCCGTCGCTGTGTCACCTTGGTTTCGCCRCRAGAGACTGCAGACGAGCAGCACAACAACACACGACCAGGACGAGCAGTGTAGCTTCAACGATACCCTTCTACAATCTGGATTCCTCACGACGAACGAAATTCTAGCTTCGACGCTTGGGGTGGACAGCGCGCTCAGTGCTACGCTGCGACTGGACCTGGGTCAAAAAACCAGCATCCTACAGGAAACCGCAAAATCGCTCGGGGTGGTGTTGGACGATCTGGCGGAAAAGAGTGCCGGTCGCAAGGCCAGTGATGTTCACCTGACCAGTGATGACCAAAGATTGTTGGTAGCACTTGTTCAATTCATCGGGAACCTGTGTTACAAGTGCAAGCACAACCAAGACTTGCTGCGGACGACCCTGGTACCGCCAGCGAAGAAGCCGGTTTTGAGGGTCGAAAGGATTCGCGAAGAAGGGAACGATCCAATTCCTTCCGGCGTGCGGAACGGTCTGCACGTTCTCCTGACATGCACCACCCACGCGACGTCGTGCTTTACTCTGCGAGAATGGGGGGTGATTGCGATACGCAACGCATTGGACGACAACGCAAACAACCAAGCAGTGGTGGAAGAACTCATGGCTCAGGGCCCCGTGGAATCGGCCGACTTGGAGCAAGCCGGCGTAAGAGTCCAGTTGGATTCCAAAGGAAAGGTTTCTCTMACGACGATCAACGAAAAGTGAGAACGTTATTCATGGGGCTATCCMCAATTTGATCGAGCCAGGCAAGAAATACGGGATGGCTTCGCAAGGATTCGGTCGAAAGAAGAATGACATCTTGTGCCACAAAGGCATGCCACCCAAATTAAAATTTCGATGGTTTTTCAGTAGAACAAACATTATTTTACGCCATTGGTGCAAGGCAATGTTTACTGCATGCTGTGTTTTGGATTTTTTCAATATCCGTTTGGGTTCTGAGACTGCCAGCTCCATAGGTCTCTGCACATATCTTCCAGCGTGAGCTTGGCCTCCCACCCCAGTTCGTTCTTCGCCAGGCTGGCATCGGCGTAGCACGTAGCAATATCTCCCGGACGGCGGGGACCCACCTTGTATTTGATCTCGTGACCACAGGCTTTGCTCATGGCCCTGACCATGTCGATGACGCTGCATCCGTTCCCTGTTCCTAGATTGAACGTGAACGTCCCCGATTTCTTCTTTTCCATGTATTCGATCGCTGAGATGTGGCCCTCGGCCAGGTCCATGACGTGCAGGTAGTCGCGAACCCCCGTTCCGTCGGGCGTCGGGTAATCGTCGCCAAATACGGTCAGGAACTCCCGCCGCCCGGTGGCAACCTGTGCGACGTACGGCATGAGGTTGTTTGGGATTCCGTTCGGGTCTTCTCCGATCTTGCCCGAGGGGTGGGCTCCGATGGGGTTGAAGTAGCGAAGGAGTGCGACGGACCAGTCCGTCTCGGCGTCTCCCAGTGTTTTCGATTTGTAAAAGTCTCGGAGAATCTCTTCGAGCATGTACTTGGTTCGCCCATACGCATTGGTAATACCGGTTCCAACCGGGGTTTCTTCCGTGATTGGCATCTTGTCGGCTGCTCCGTAGACGGTGGCGGAACTCGAAAAGACAATCGAGTGGCAACCAAATTCGTCGAGGAGCTCGAGCAGGAAGAGGGTTCCGGTGATATTGTTGTGGTAGTATTTTAGTGGGATTCTCGTCGATTCTCCCACGGCCTGTGGTCGACGCAAGAAAAATCGGGTTCGTGAGAACAAGACGGGACAAGCAAAGAGGGACTACGTACTGTATTGATAGCATACGGCTGCTCGGTCGCACAAGTGCCCGTTGCACTTGCCTTGAGGCCCGCAAAGTGGATGCACGCCGCGAATCTKGGAGAGGTTTCGAAGACCCGCTTCAGGGCATCCCTGTCGCACAGATCTACCTGGTGAAAGACGAGGCGCTCCCTCCGGGCGGCCTCGTCGAGGCCCGTGAGCTCCGCCACGCGATCGAGGGAGGCGACGCTCGAGTTGGACAGGTTGTCCAGAACAACGACGCCGTAGCCCTGCTCCAGAAGGCAAAAAATTGTGTGGCTGCCGATGTATCCGGCGCCGCCAGTGACCAGGACAACGCCCTTTGAACTCGTCGTCGCTGTCGCCATTTCGATAAAGCCACCGTTTTGGTTTCTGTATTCTTCGTTGTGCGGTGTCGCGTTTCGGAGCGCAATCCCGTTGCTGCGGTTGATCCAAGCCGGAGAAGAAGTATGGTACTCGTACGAGAACGGTACCTGTGGAGCTCGGCTCGTTTGGGGTTGCTGCCCGTATCCGCACTTTCACTTCGATCGAATATTTATTAGTAGTATTTTTCTTCGACACGAAAATTGTCGGAACTCTTCGTACGTGCGAGTACGGTACTCGTACTCGTACCGCATCGTACCGTACGTACCACTCGTGTACGATTGGGGGAATCACGAGCAACACAGACTCTTCGAAGCATGACTGACCGGCGCGGCGGCGTGAATTTTGAAATTTGAAGATTGAAGATGATTACAGTACGAAGTAATACGTACGGTAGAAGTACTCGTACKACCTAGTAGTGCTGTACTTCCTATCGTACTTCGTACTCTTATGTATTCTTTACATTACATATCGTAGCGTACAGTACTACTGACAACAGGATGTACCGGTCGGTCCGTACGAGTAGTAAAATGAGAAGGTACGTACGTACGGTACGTTTTCCATAGCTTCCTCTCCCAAGAAATAGCTCGAATAAGCCTCTAGGAGTAAAATAAGCCCAATATTTGGGCAATAGATCTCAAAAGTCAATGCACTGAGCATCGGTGGTTCTTTTTTGAGAAGGAGCATCAACGAAAACCAGGTTGTTGTGATTGGCCGGCGCTTTCGACTGGAGTTGAACGGCGATTATGTAGGTATGCATTTTTTTATGCTTTCGCGAGCCGTCGCCGAGTACTGGTACGAGTACGAGTACGTACCGTACGTACTGCGACATTGTCTACCCGTACCGTAGCGTACCTTACCTGGAGGTAGTATGACGAGAGTACGAGTAAGTACTGTACGATACTCTACGTTCCGCCCGACCGGTATCGTACTCGTTCTTTACGTAGCGTAGTCGCACTCGTTCTAATTCCGGTACCGTACCGTATGGCATCGCAAACTCTGCTTCCTTGCGTCTCCCTCACTCTCTCTCTCTCTCTCTCTCTTTCGATCCAAATCCCAAGAGATCCAGAGAAACTCCCAAGCTCGCTCGAGACCTCACGAGCACGTACTCGTACTCGTACCTGGTACATACACACACACATACCCTGCACCCCTCCGGTCCGCGGTTTCGCACTACAGCAACGCAGCGGGGCAAGACGAGAGAGACGGGACACCGAAATGGTCGAAGAACTGGAAAAGGCCCAGAAGGCCCTCCGGGACATGGACTACGATTCCGTGTCCGAGGACGGGGACGGGGACGACCGGGAGGCGGCGGGCCTCCGCTCCGGCGGCACGGCGACCGCTGCATCGCCCCCACGGGCCCGTCCTTTGGACCGGTCCCACCCCTCCTCGCAYCTTCCCTCCCCGGACGTGTCGCCGGCATCGGCGTCCACGCTGGAGCGSTTCCTGTCCTCGGAAGACGACCATGGGAAGGACGCAAGGGGAGAGCCCTTCCGGAGCGGCGCCGYCGGTCCCCCCGGGCAGCCTTCGTTCGGTGCGCCCGCCGCCCTTTCGATCGAAATGCCCCAAGCGAAGGCAAGCCCGGCCGCGGACCCAAACGCAGCCCCTCCGGCGTTGCCGTCGTCTTCCACTTCCAAGCTGTACACGAAAATCCCGGCACCGAACTCCCTCTTCGACGACGACGATTCGATGGCGGCCGTAGAGCTCCAGACCTTTGGCAACGGGGCGGGGGATGGTGTCGTCGACGTCGACATGGACATGGACGTCAACATGGACGTCAACATGGACACCAATGGCAACGCAAGTGGCAACTTCATTGGCAACTTCATTGGCAACGCCAGTGGTAATCACGAGACGAACCCATACGCCGAGAACGATAGGACGCATGCGAGCACTCACCAACCCGGAACCGCGGGCTACCTCGAGATGGAGGAAGAACCGCCCCGAAGCGTTCACCACGAACGCAATGGCAGAAACTCCGTGGTTGTGGGCGAATCGATAAAAACCGACTCTGGGTTGGTGTTGACCCATCGCAAGATTGCTGCTGCTGCTTCTTCTTCTTCTTTTTCCGCGACGCATCGAAACCAACAAAAAAAMCAGCAACACCGGCACCGAGCACACGACGACAATCCGCTCCCGCAGCAAAGAGTCTTTCGAGAGACACAGCAGGACTACTTCGAGGCAGAGAACGGTATCTTTCGTGGATGGAACAGGGAGAACCCGACCTTTCGGCAGCGAAAGGAGGGTGGGAATCACTTCGGAGGGTACTCGGGATCCCTCGCCGGAGGATTTGGAAGCGGGACCAGCGGAAGGAACTCGATGGTCGTGGTGCAGGCGAAGCGCCTCCTCTCCTACGTCCGAATCTGGGTGGTGCTCTTCTCGCTGATCGCCCTGTCCATGACGGGGGTCTTCTTTCATTCTTTGGGACGCCAGGACGATCCCAAATCACTCGTCACCAAGACCGATGCGGCGCTGTCGTCCTCCTCCTCACCGAACAGCATCGAGGCGGGTGCGGCCGTGCTGCTGCCGGATCCTGCCGTGGAGAAAATCCTGCTGCTGCCCCTGCCAGGCATTTCGGAGCGGGGCTCGCTGCCGGTGCGACAGCAACAGCACCAACAAACCCAGCAACAAGCCCAGCAACACTTCCAGCCGTATCACCCGAGACGACTGCAGATGCTTCGGGATCGCGACGGAAACAGATCCGGAGATCCGGACGACACGGACAACCGATTTATCCCACACCTGCGTCGGGAGTTTGAACGCTGGATGCGCCAGCACTCCAAGGCCTACCATTCCGATGAAGAGAAGGAACGCCGCTTTTCCATCTGGTCGCAAAACCACGAACGGACCGCCGAGAAAAACCGGCGCCACGGCCCCTGCACCCTCACCAAGCAACACGTGTTTGGCTCCAACCACTTCAAGGACCTGGCCCCGGAAGAGTTCCGGGCGAAGTTTCTGACGGGGTACAAGGGTGCCCACGCCGATGTCCTAGAGGAGAAGCTCGGGGCCATGTCACCGGGCGAGCGAAAACTCAGAAAGGACGCCGGCATCGGCGTGGTGCTCGATCCAAAACTGCACAAAGTGGACTACCACGAATCGGTTTTGCGGAAGCAGCGGCATCTCAAACAGGAAACCTCGTCGTACAAACCAAAGGTGATGACCGCCTCGSCGATGTACTGCAAGTGGTACGACGCCTCCTGCATCCTGCGCTATATATGGCTCTCCACGGGCATCCAGTTCGGAATGATCGGAACGATGGAACCCAAGTTCGACGCCGATGCCTTTCCGAACTCGGTGGACTGGAGAGATTCCGGGGCAGTGACCTACGTTCGAACCCAGGGCGAATGCGGCGCCTGCTGGGCCATTACCGCCGTCGAGACGGTGGAATCGGCGTACTTTCTCGCMACGGGCACCCTCTACACGCTCTCCGAATCGGAAATCATCGTGTGCGACGACTCGTGCGAGATGTGTTCCGGCGGATGGCCCCAGAACGCCTTTGAGTGGGTCATGGACCACGGGGGCCTCCCCCTCCAGAACACGCTGCCCTACGATTCGTACACGCTCATCGCCCTGACGGCGGGCGCGGAGGGAGACAGCGAGTACTACAGCGAGGAAGCCCTCGAGTCCTACCGGAACCAGGTCTGCCCCGCCAGCGACGCCGGCTCCCACGACGGCTCGGGAAGCAACGACGAGTCCTATTGGGGCAACGGCGCCGAGAACAAAAACTACGCGGACTACTCCGACCAGGGCCGCTACGGGAACATCCGGGGCTACGGCTACGCCACCGACCGCTGCCTGTGCTACACCGATGGGTCGGGCTGCGACTGCGACGACCAGGACGAGGACACGGCGGTCCGAAACATTGCCACGTACGGGCCGGCGGTCGTCTGCCTGGAGGCCTCGACCTGGCAGGACTACTCGGGGGRAATCATGACGGACGAGATCGGCTGCGGCCACGAGTTCTCGGACATGAACCACTGCGTCCAGGTCGTGGGATACGCCTTTACCGACGACTCCGATTGCGGCGAAGGCGATGCCGGCGACGAAGGCGAAGGCAAGGACGCGAACTGCGGTGGCGGCAGCAACGACGGGTCGGGAAGCGGGAGCAACAGCGGGAGCAGCGATTCCCGGGAGGGATACTGGATCGTCCGGAACCAGTGGGGCTCGAGCTGGGGCATGAACGGCTACGCCTATGTGGCCATGGGAGGAAACACGTGCGGCATACTGAACGACATGACGGTTGCCTATGCATAGAAACCACCGCACAATGATTGCACAGTAATGACACAGTAATTGCACAATAATTGCAAAATAAGTATAGCACTCGTTTATTTTTGTACGCCTAGCTACGGAACGCACTGTTTCCGAATCGATTCCCGCCTTATCGTCCCCACGTCTTTTCCCTCAATTGGTTGCCGGAGAACTGCTTCGGGACGGGGAGGTTGTCGCTCGCGATCATCTCAACGATCTTGCCGGCCGCCACGAATCCGGAGGCTCCCGTCACGAAACACGCCGTGCCCAGGGCCCCGTCGCAGCGCCGCAGCGAGGACGTCCCCGAGCCCCTCGGCAGCTGCCTCGGCGCCTCCGTCGAGTACACGGCCTGGATCTTCCACTTGCGGGGAAGCTTTTTCCGCAGCTTGCCGGTCTTGGGGTCCCTGGCCTTGGCACCGGGCGACACGCCCTCCTGGAACCCGTAGTACTTGCGCAGGTTCTTGCGGCACGAGGACAGCAGGTTGTCCTCGACCGCCCTCGTCAGGTCGTCGCAGGTGAATTTGGTGGGATCGGTCCGGCCCGCCGACCCGCCGCAGGTCACGATCGGGACCCTCCGCCGGGCGCAGGAGGCGATCCACGCCGTCTTGGCGTCGCTCCCGTCGATCGCGTCCAGGCAGGCGGTCACCGGCACGGGCGACAGCTCCCGGATGGTCTCCCAGACGTCGTCCGCGTTTTCCTTCGACACAAAGTCGTGGACCAGGGTCACCTCCACCGAGGGATTGATCTCCTCCAGCCTCGCCTTCATGGCGTCTATTTTCATCTGGCCAACGGAGGTCGAGAGAGCGTGCAGCTGCCGGTTCGTGTTGCTGATGCAGATGTCGTCCAGATCGATCAGGGTGATGTGTCCGACACCGGAGCGGCACAAGGCTTCCGCGGCCCACGATCCGACACCGCCCAGGCCGACGACAACGACACGGCTTCTCTGCATCCGATCTACGACCCGCAGGTGGTCCTCCCGTGGCTGTGGCTCTTCGGGTGCACCGCCTGGGTGGTTCTCTTCGCTCGCTGCCGAGGAAGGCGGGGGCGTTGTCGTGAACAACCGCCCGACGCCGGAAAACCTTAGATCGTTCTCGTCGTTCGGGAAGATTGGTGCCGGGGATTCGTTGTCTTCGACCGTTGCCGATCGACCTCGGGACGAGGAGGGGCATCCACGAGGCGCTGCCGGAAACCAGCAACCGCTACGTTCGTTTGTAACGACGAACGACGTCGATGGGTACACCAACAGAAACGCATTCACGGCGAGCAACAGCACCGACACCAAAAACTTCTCCATCTCGTCGCAGCGTACGTAGATCCTWAACTTTGGATGGATGGGCAAAGTGTCACAGAGAAAGTAACAAAGACGGAGTAAGTCACAATCCAAAAGGTGTGTTCGGCAGCCGTTGCTTGGAAAGGATGATGGAATCAGGAGGCCCGGCCCAAAACAAGAAACGTCGTAATCGAACATGCCGAAAATCAGGGATCAGAAAATGAAACAGTTGGAAACATGGAATCGTACGGTACGTACTTRGCGCGAAAAATAACCGCGCGTGAACCTTACTGGGAACGTACCGTTGTGTCGTACAGTACGTACTATGTACTAAAGTACTTCGTATAGGAAGTAGGAAGAAGTACTATGATTTGTACTACTACTACTACTACTAGTAGTACTAATAATTACTTGATATTTGGTTTTCCCTTGTACTGGTATTCTGATATATTTTTCTGAATAATTCCAGTCTTCCCTCCTGCTCCTTGGTTAAAAATTCTAATCCTTCTTCTTTCCCATCAACTAATCAAACTAGACTACTAGTAGTACTAGCATAGTAGTAGTAGTAGTAGTAGTAGTAGTAGTAGTAGTAGCATTGTTTATTGTTGCACAACAGCAGCTCCTTCCACAAAGTGGTCAGAGTTGGACAAATACTTGCAAACAAAAATTATAAAACGTTTTCGAGCCATTCAAACTGAAAATATCGAGATTCGCCCACCGAGGACATAGCAGGAGTACTACCGGCGCAAACAAGAGTCCCTTGGTCTTTCAAACAATGCAGCAAGCATTTACGAAGTAGAAGTACGGTACTGTGGATGGGTAAAGATGTTACTACAAAAGAGTTTTCCAAGACAACCATTTGTTACTCCGGAAGAAGCTCCTTGGATAACTCTTCTAGGTTGAGATTGTTGGCCGTTTTCGTGATTCATCACAATCACGTTTATTTCAAATCGACGCTTAGATTCAGTAGAGATTTGCGTCCGCCCCCGATCTTTGCTCGACGTAATAGCGATGAATGTCGATCGACATACTTAAAGATCCAGCAGAAGTTGCCTTCGACTGATACTTGATTCCTAGTGGAAGTGTGGCTTCGCGTTTTTATTGAACACCTTTTCCCTATGTCACGTAGTTCGCTGCGATACMTTAGTGCTATGAATCGTTGCAAGGTGATAGGTTTGCGAAAATCGTACGGTAGGGGATCAATCCTTTACCACTTTTCAGTGAAAAAAAAAACTGGAGGTAGTCCAAATTTCCTTGTGGTACTGTAGATATGATTCTCGAATGCGAAAACATTAGACGGACATTATCTTCCCTCCTGCCGTCTTCTCAGGATACGAATAACCATGTTGATTCTGTTGTGGCCCAAGTGCTTGCAGCTGCTGTCGCGCTTGTAAATTAGGGTCCTGCTGGAACGAAGGTGGAGGTTCGCCTCCATATTTTGTATCRGTGAGACTTGATATATCGGATGGCGACTGACTATCAATACTATTGTATCCCTGCTGTTGCGTTTGACTTATTTCATCTCGCCCTATCAATATGTAATAACTTAGTAACATGTTGGAACAGCAGATAATAGAGCTCCACCACCAGACGCTCCACAAAGGACCGGTGATACCCAAGGACTCGCAGTTATCCTGATCGGCGTTTTTGCAAATAGAAAAGAAMCGTCGAAATGAWACGGAGACAAAAAAGGCYAAGATTGCACCCCCTACGCAYAACCCGAGGCACAAACCGACCATGAATTCCGTTGGTTGCAATACTCGTGGGGCAAAACTAAATCGGTCGTTCCTCGTGACCATAATTGCAAAAAATGCTTGAAATACAAGGAGTGATGAAGCGAGGAAGGTTATGAACGAAACCAATATGGAGTTCATGAAGAGAAAGAAATTCGAAATCGTCATCACAAAAAGTATATGGTTTGTCACTTTGTGAACTGTATCCAGATTTACCGCAATGTAATTCTGAATTACAGGCGGAAATGATTGTCCATACGTTTGCAGATTACCATGATTTTCCATATTTTCTGTGTCTATCGTGATTGGAATTGGGTCAGCGAACAACTACAAACGGTGCGCTTCAAGGATTGTGCAGGCTTGTATTTGCAAAGAAAAGAAGTAAGTTTGCTGTCGACTACAGCGAGATCTTTCGCATAGACGATAACTTGAGATGTGGAAGAAAATATCCTCATTTGGTCCTACCGTACTTTACGGTACGCTACGTACTCGTACTGGTACGAAGTAGTATTTTCGAATGGAAAAACACTGTCATGACGAGAAACATGATACCAAAAACAAAACAATACCGGTAGGCTGTCGTCMTACGGCACTGTACAGTACATTACCTACTACTATCACGTAAGAGTCATGGACGTGCGAATTACTGTAACCACAAGTACGGGTACTCGTACTCGTATTCGTGCTGGTAGAGTAAAATCKYAATGCGCCGTCACGATGATACGGGTACATACAGSACTTAGGTACGAGTAGATTACGTAAAACTATTGTCGTTTTTTCCCAGTTCGACAGTACGGTACAAAAGGGAATTGCGYACCCTCTTAAAAATCATRGGGCKTAATCACTTGAGATGGCACAAGAGCGGTTCTTTACTCTAACGTAAAGTCGTACGTTGTTCAACAGTAGTACGTACAATGTGTCCGTTAGAAAATTGAAATTTCGTCCCTTTTTCGAAAACCTCCCACCGGTKCTTGGAKTGAGATCTATTGATTGTGGCCGCAACCGCGAGTCAACAATACATGACACTCAACCATCGATCTTAACCACTGCACGTACTGTTGGAAGGTACCGTACTCATTACCTCAGACCCCAATATCATCTTTGAATAATTGACTTCGCAGTTGATATAYGCAACATTAAATCTGAGAGATGCAACTGGAGCTACCAAAGGACTTTTTCTCATGGCACCGATTCRTTTCGGTTGCGATGCTGTTTTTCGGAACCTGTCTRTTAAGCATCAATCTGGGATCTCTTCAAAATTATCTGGGGTATAATTCAGAGCCGGATACATTTCTAAGAGAAGCAGTCAATGTGCACGAGCAATTTTCATGGATGGACACAACTGGTGTCACCTTGTCTCACATTCAAGGTGATCCGACAACGTGCACGGATGTCATCTATACAGGCAGCTCTCTCAACCCATTCAAGACAAATAATGACGACGAAAGTGATACATWTATAATCCAACAGGGTTGGAAATCCCTGGCATATTTAGTCCGTAATTCCCCTGTTCTCAAGGGCACGACTTGTTTCGTATTTTTCAAAGTTGACAGTCCGTGGATCGATCAAAGCGGAAGAGAATTACATCCAGTCTGGGGTCGACTTCCAGCAACTGCACTAGTGATGTCGGCCTTTCCAAAAGCGAATGTTTTCCTTTACATGGACTCGGATGCTCTTTTGGCATTTCCTGATAAGACCCCTACGACTATGTACAACGCATTAGCGTTTGATGGGTATGGTGAGAATGCTACAATGCAACATCTCACCCCTGGTCTCATTGTGAATAAGCCTCTTACTGGTTGGTTGTGCAGCCAATGTGAAAATTTTGGACTAGGTCATGGATGTTTCAATACTGGGGCGCTGCTTTGGCACAGATCCAAGGCAGAAGTGGTGTTACGACCTTGGTGGGAATCCAGGAATGCGGAAGAATCTGAAAATTTTTACGACAAAAAAAGTAGTGAATACTTTCATGGATGGAGTGGTGATGAAGCGGGTCGAATCGGGGATAAAATGGGAGAGCAGAACAGATTGATGTATATTTATGGAACAAACCCTGATGTTCATAGAAATGTGTGGCCCGTGCCTCAGCAGAAAAGTGTAGCATACAATTCAGAATCCTGTCCAAACAAAGTAGACGAAGCTCATATGCCCTGCTTACAAAGCGATTTTATGTATCTGGTTAACTGGAACCCGTCTGGGCCATCATGTTTTATCAATCATTACGCGGACGAAAAAAAAGTGATCATCGACTACGCCAAGACAATAATGGAACACGAGTACCATTTAAGAGGATGAACAACATCGAAATCAACAACCATGGCGCAGTGCGGTATAAATTTGAAGCTTCTGAATATTTTTCTACCAGGAAGAATAAACAAGAAACATTGTAGGATTGGGAGCGATGATTACTTGGATTTGGAAGAATTCATCGACTGGAATGCCTCTCTACTTGATATGGCTCAAGACTGCATTGTCACAAGTGATAAATGAGACCATRAAAGAAAGAAGTAGAACGCTTGCCTTGGATGAAAATACACTACCGGTATGGTTTCAGTCCTCTAAGGTAGATAAAGTATTTTCTGAGAGCAAATGATAGATTCATTACTCAATGATTATTGGAGAYTTCTTGACATTTGCTCAGTGCCATATTTCATTCCCTATTTCAACATAAAGTCCTTATCTAGTGTAGAATAYAGAACTATATCTACAGAGCCCTCCTTCAGACAATGTTGTGGTGGCCGAAAGCCATCAAAATTTGGAAGAAATGGCTTAAGTTTAGAAATTGARATTGGAGTTGGAAAAATGTGATATAATCGGTGCCATCTAGGAAGCGCTCTTGCTTTGGATCACACCTCACGTGTTAGAAGTGGATTAGCTTTACAACACAGTTTGGATTTTCAGGGTCTTCCACAACAGAGGAGTACTGTTTTGTTACAGTTGGATTATTAAGAGACAGCTGGTATGACTT